AAAAGTCAAACAGATTCAAGCATTCAAAACATATACATATTCTATTTGGCGGATTGGTTTCATTGAGCAATCATTCAAAGGAGTACAACAACAAAAACAAATAGACAAATAAAAACCAGATTCGACATCATGACCAAATCAAACTAATATAACCAAACTCTACTAAACAGGAGAGCAAAAGGCTTTTCCAGATAAAACTTGTGTAGGGGCAAAATTGTCCAAATCAAGATAATTACCTGCAACTTTGTAATATATCACAGGGCATATCAATTGTAGGGGCATAATCATAACAAAGGTATTGTGGTCAAACAAATCCAAGTGTATCCATCTAATGTCTTACATATACGTAGCAGCACCATCAGATTTAGACAACACCAATCAAACTTGTTGAGTGAATCAGCAATTGTATCTAATTTAATCAACAGTTATATCTAGTTATATCCAATTTTATCAACTGTTAGTATAAGCATATAACAAACACACTCGATTTAGAAGAAGGGGTAGGGTCCGATTTCTTACTACTGTTGGAGATATAAACGCACATAAGAAGGGGAAACATACCTGCAATTAAATTGGAACCGAAGTGGAGAGGCAGTCCATCGATCGATCTAGAGAGAAGGATAGGGTGCAATTCTTGATGGGGGTGTGATCGATTTTATGCAAGCAAAGGGGGTGTTGGATGATCGATTTTGAGTGTCTATTAAGAACGAGATCGTAAAGGGGGTGTTGGATCGATTCTTCCTACTGGGATACGATACACACGCACACGTATAGGGATAGGCACAAGTGGAAACGACGTCTTCCTTTCTCAGTCAGTCGAATCCTTCTTTCTTACCGGGTCAGACTTCAATTTCCCGCTCAGATGGTTTATCAAACAGGTTATGCTGACCGAGTCAGCCAAAAACGTCTGACGTGACTCGGTTAGCAGCATATCAAACAAGGCCTAAGTATGTAAATTGTTACAGGAGACCACTAAAAAATAGCGAAGATTTTCTTTTGCTTTATCCTTACTCATTTGGGTTCTTCTGAGTAAGAGTTATTAAGAATATGATATATAGTTTGCAAACGACAATTCCAGTTAAAGTTTATCCCAATGTTGCTTTTTTTGTATATTTAACTTTGATCACACATAATATGTTGTAAACATATTTAGGGATTTAACATTTATTTAATAGATTTTATATTGATATTATCTATTCAAATTTCTATGAAAGAAAAACAACCCTAATGTATTTGAGGTTGATTAGGGTTTCGAGATTAGGGTTTGGGGGGTGATGGAGGCCAGATATGATGCTTTCGTAGGGTGCAAACCCCAAATATTAGGGTTTCATCCAGCCTGGCCTACTCGTTGAGTCAGGACTTCGACTCGTCGAGTAGCTCACTTAAAAGCCACACCTTTTCTGCCTTCTACTCGACGAGTTAGGGCCACCAACTCGTCGAGTAGCCCTTCCAAATTAAATAAATAATAAGGTTAAAATGCGTACCAGGAACCAGACGTTACAAATTCTCCTTACTAGAATGTTTTATCTCGGTTTTTCTGAACAATTCTTCTCCAGAATTTTCTCTCAAAATCTTCCAAGCCTTCTCCAATCGTGAAAGTGAATGAGTATTTATAGTTTTGGGAATTTTCA